CTCAGGAGGTCACAATGTGTCCTTGATGTCTGTAGTGGAATCCCAAATCCATTAATGCAATTACCTATAGCAGATTGCTCATATATAAGGTATAACTCTTGTATCACTATTAGTACTATGTGTCTAGAAGGTTTGTTTCTAAGAGAAAATGTGTTTTAAGTTTTAAACAGTGAGTTATATAAGGAGACACCTCTATTGGCAGTGAACTTGGATTCTGAAAATGAGAGTTCAAATTCTAGCTCTTCCAGTTCATAGATATGTGTGACTACTTATGTAATTACTTGGCTTCTTTTGGCCAAGGTTCTCTGTATAGACTGTAGAGAGAACAGCTATCTCTCAAATGTGGTTATGGGGGGTTTAATGAGAATATAAGTGAAAGGGTATAATAAAATGTAAAGTCCTGTATCAAAGGAATGTGGCTTTTTGGTGTTAACAGTCACTGTGTTAGGTGAAAAAAAAAAAAACAACAAGTTCTTGCCTTGTAGGAGCTACTCACCCAGGGGATAAGACAATCACGGGCAATTCCATGAGAGTATGTGATACATCCTGTGGCAGATATATGTACATGTGATCGGGGGCACAGAGGAGAGCAACTATAATCTGAAAATGGATGGATAGGGGAGACTTCGTGGACAAGGGACTTCCTGATCTGAGTCTTAAAGGCCAAGGAAGAAACATGCCAGGCAGAGAAGGAAGAAGAAGGGAAAGCCATTCCAGGTTGAAGGAGTGGCATGGGGGAATATGGTACATTCAGAAAGCTGCAGATACGGCTGGAGGTATGACTGGAGCATAAACTCTCTACTTGTATTGCTTAATTTGATTATTGAGACCACTTACCTAACTCTAAAAAGGCAATTTATTGCACAGTGGTTAACAACTCTAGAAATAAACTTGGTCTGAAACCTGGTTTGATCATTTGCTAATCTGTTATGTCTAATTAAGAACTTCACCTTCATAGACTTTTAAGTTCAGTATGATGATCAAGGTACCTACTTCAGTGGGTTGTTGGCGATGAGTATTTGAAATAATGTTTGCAAATCTCTCCTGGTGTTTAATACACACACAATAAACATTAGCAGCAGTTTTTGTTTCTGTCTTGAAAGTTTTTAGAGTTACTTTTCCCCCATCAGTATTTTATAATCTACTTTCTAGCCTAGCTGTTTAGCAGTATTTTAAACACCAACTTTTGTTTGTTATAATGGAATCAGAATTTGAATGAATTTTTAAAGATGGTCTAGATCAGTTTTCTGTGTTAAGAAACCGAGTCACAGTTAATCACCTGGCTGTCGTGTCCTAGTGAATCTGTGACACAGGTGGGACAAGAATCAGGTCTCTTTCTGTTGGCCTTGGAATAAATGTCAAAAATCACTCAGAGACACAGTTTCTAGAAGAAAGAATATAAGTTAGCAGTACAGAAATCGGCATTTCTATAGATTTGCAGATGGGAAATCTAGGTTTTGAAGAAATGCAATATCTTTCTCTGGCTGCCCTCTGGTGGAAGTGCTGTTTAGCAACAACACATGTGAAAGAGCCATGAGAGGCAGGTGATGAGGAACCAGGTTATTCTTAAAGGAGTGATTCCTTTGCCATCAAGAATTTCTTATATGGACACATTCCTATTTCTGTTCATTTGGGTCTCCTCACTAAAGTGTGGGAATAGATTTTCATAATACCTGCCAATTAAACATGTTCTACTTCATTTATTCAAGAGGATCCAACAGATAATTTGTTGAGTGTCTTTTGTGTACCAAATGCTAGGAATAGAAGCAAGAAGCATGTGCATTAGTGAAGTAAACATGTCGAAATAATAATCATACAAATAAATAATTATAATTAGTTAAATGTTATGCCTAAAAAGTACAGAGTGATTTATGACCATTAGCAATGTTTGGGAAGCCTCCCTTGAGGAATTAAAGTTTTAACTTAGGGAGTCTCAGTAAAGTAAATAGACAAAGATGAGTTATAGCAAATGGAGAAAAGAATCTCATACTGAGGAAACAGCACGTGCAAAGGCCCTAGGGAAGGACAAAGTATGATCTCTCCTAAGAAATGAAAGACAACTAGTGTATTTGAAGCAGAGAAAGCAAATATATAATACAAATCTTGGTCATGAGAAGTGGAGGTATTTACTAGGCATCACCAAAGAAACCAAAAGGCACAGGAAGAAGTGAACCTTCTTCCAAAGTAAACTGTGTGCTCTTAGTTAAAATTTTGTTGTTCTAAAGAGTCATAGTAAAGAAAATTACTTTAGAACCACTGTAATACTCTGTTTACAGAGTAGAGTAATATTAGGATTTGGGCACTTTAAATATGTATTTTTTTTCACTTGATTTTTCTTCCTTTCTCTCCTGGCTCATTGGGAATTGAGGGAATATTTTGATGTGCTGAAGTGTTGAGATCAGGGACTTTTGTTGTGGATCAGTTGAACAGCCATAGAAATGACAGAGAGAATCTTATCCTGTTTTCTTGGCTGAGATTTTTGTGTGGGTGTGTGAGGTGCAGCTGCACTGTTGGTTTCTTGGCAATCAAGACAAGCAGTTCTCAGTGCAGTTCATGCTGAATGGGAAGAAACTTAAGAGAAAAAAGGCTACTTTGAATATATTAAATTCAGTGGAAAGCACCGAGGGCCTGAACCTTTGGCTGCTATTCTAAGTTATTTGGCTAAATGGACACAGCAGCCCCAGGCACATGTCCAAGCTTATGGCAGAAACACATGAAGGAGAGAAGATTTTTAAAGTAGTCAAAGCTTTGTCTCAATAGAAAATTATCAATTACCATGTGTAATTTTTAAATGAATTTTTGCTAGTTAATTTTTCGTTTGTGATTTAAGCTTTTTCTCTAGTGAGCACTTAATGAAAAAGGCAGATTGTGAAAAATTAGCTTTGCTTGCAAAAGTGAACTCATAATTTTCTGTAGTTTATCAGAAAGATGTTTCTCAGATTTATATATACACAGATGGATTCTTAGGTCTGCTTTTATTGCTCACTTGTTTTCTTCATTTTCCTTTGACCTTTCTGTGGCCTATAAGCACTTTGTGTTCCCAAACCCTCAAATTAAATGCAGACAATATGGAGCTCTTAATTTTTTAAGGACACTTGCATCCTTCCCTTTGGATAATCTTGTCATTGTCCTTTGTATTCTTCAAGCAGGGATGTCTGAGTCGCTCCCAGTCTTTAACTGTTTATTTCTCTATTACTGTTTAATATTAGCGCTCTCAGAGTAGCATAGTCAGGTCCTATAGTTGGTTGGCCTGGGTTTCTCTCCAGTCCCACTACTGACTATCTTGGTCCCCTTAACTTCGTTTTGTTTTTTTTTTTTTTTTTAAGATTTTATTTATTTGACAGAGAGAGACACAGCAAGAGAAGGAACACAAGCAGAGGGAGTGTGAGAGGGAGAAGCAGGCTTCCCGTGGAGCAGGGAGCCCGATGCGGGGCTCGATCCCAGGACCCTGGGATCATGACCTGAGCCGAAGGCAGACACTTAACGACTGAGCCACCCAGCTGCCCCGGTCCCCTTAACTTTTTAGTTTCTCATCTCCAAAAATGGAGATAATCATGTCAGTGCTTCATGAGGTTTGTTTGTTTGTTTTTAAATAAGGCCTAAAGGAAAAGATGAATATAACGAGCTTAATTCAAGATAAGTGTCCAAGAGAAGAGATGCTATGACTGGTCATTTTCTTCATGATTAGGGCCAGTCTTCCAGAATCCACTGTCCTGGGTGATCTCATTTAGGGTAAAGACCATCCGAATGCTGATGACTCTCAATTTTTCTATCTTTGTTTCTAACCTCACTCTTCCTGAAGCCTCCAGACTTGTATAACTGACTGCTACTGTATATCTACACTTAATTATCTAATACATACTTCAGATATAACATGTCTGAAAACAACTTCCCATCTCTGTCACACACTCGTCTACTTGCCTTCCTCATCTGTTCCTCCCCGGTCTTTCCTATCATAGTTAATGGTAACACCCTCTGTCCTTTTTTTTTCTTTTTTTACTTTCCTGTAGCTACCAACCTTCATCCATTTCATGAGCACATCTAACAGCATTATCCCCAGAATATATCCTAAATCTGACCACTTGTCACCATATCGTCTGCTAACACCATGGTCCAAGGCAATAACCTCTCATTTGGACAGCTATATAAAGGAATGGCCTCGTTGTTGCTCTTTGTTTTCCTCCTTGTCTCCTACAATCCTTTCTCCACGTTGAGGAGTAAACATAGATTTAAAAACTTTGATTATTAACCCCCCTCCCCCCCAAACATGGCTAGTTCATTCCAACTGTAAGGCCTTTACACTAGTTTTTCCTTCTGTTTGGGTTATTTTTTCTCCCAGATCATCACAATGTTGGCTCCTTGCAAGTTTTGGTTCTCAATTCAGATAATATCTCCTCAGAAGCTATCCTGACATCTTTCCTTTCTTTCTTAATAGGTGATCACTGTCTGAAATTTCCCCAACTTTCCTTTCTCTTCTTGTGAATTGCCCCCTCCCCTCTCCCATGAGGGCAAGGACTTTATGCATCTTGTTTACTACCATATTCCCAGTGCTTAGTATGGAACCTGATACTCAGAAGGTTTACAGGATTATATGGCTAGATGACAAAATGAAAGAATGGATGATTAGATACATGTGCTGTAAGTATTTCTGCAGCCAGAGAAATTATGAATTATTTCATCCTGAATGAATTTTACATAGATGCTTATTTTAGAATTAACCATGCTAATATTTTTTTCTTTTTCTTTCATGTTTTCTCTGTCATAGATTATAAGCTCTTAAGTGTAGGAGGTATGTCTCCATTGTTTTCAGCTTCTGATAGAATGCCAAATATCATTTTAGTACTTATTGTCAATGGAATTGAAAATTCAATTAATATCCTCTGAAATTATAGTAATTTTATATATGTGTGAATGTATATACATATAAATATATGTGTAAATTATATAAATTTGGAAAGCAGAGGTGTTTAAAATATGCCTTCCCCTTTTATCTCTTGTAGTTCATAATTGGACCCTGGAGGACACGCTTCAGTGGTTGATAGAATTTGTTGAACTACCCCAATATGAGAAGAATTTTAGAGACAATAATGTCAAAGGAACAACACTTCCCAGGTGAGTATTTATTATCCAAATGTATTTTTTTTCACTCAGGGAGAATCACATACTAGATGTTATTTTCAGTGCCAAAATAACATCAAAGGGCCAACCTCTGAGCATGTGGTAAATGTGACAAAAACATATTCATTTGATATGAATCCACCTTAATGAAAAACGTATTTGAATGGGTTAATGTACAGATCGTTCTTAATTGTATTTTTTTAGTAATGATAACCACTCTGTATTAGTGGCCGTAAGTTAAATCTCAAAAAAAAAGTTTAATAAAATGTAAATAATAACCATTTTAAAATGTATATTACATAGAGGAACTCTATTATCTCATTTAAGCTTCATGGTTAAAGTTAAGTATGTATTATCCCCATTTTACAGATAAAAAACAATCATAGAGAAGTTATTTATTTTGCCCAATTCAGCATTTGAACCCAGATAGATCTAAATCAATAAGTCTAGAATGCCAGTTTATCCCTTAAATGTCTGGAATTATTTGTTACTAGTTTTCTAAATTTTATTTTCTAAATCTCCATTAGTTAACTTTAATGATTTTTAAAGATTTTTTTTTTTTTTAAAGATTTTATTTATTTGCGAGAGAGAGAAGGAGCGGGGCAGGGTGAGCAGACAGAGATGGAGAAGCAGACTTCCCGCTGAGCAGGTGGCCCTACAAGGGGCTCAGGGTTCTGTCCTGGGACCCCGAGATCGCGACCTGCGCTGAAGGCAGATGCTTAACCCACTGAGCCACCCAGGCGCCCCGTTAAATGTTAAAATTTGCAATGGTTCTACCAGAACCTGGCCCAGAATAAGGTTGCCTATTTTTTATTTTTCTCTCAAATTTGTTTCTTGAATCAAAAAAGACTAATCCCTTGTTAACCGCCTTATTGTTACATGCGATGAAACGTGTGTATAGCATTTCTGATCAGTTTGCTTACACTGTGTTCAAGGAAGCAGCTGCTGTTGCTTTGGACTTTGGATCCAGTTGGTGATTTTCTGTCTCCTGTAAATATCCTCTGAGCATTGATACCAGTATTTCCGAATTTACTGTGTACATGACTATAATGATGAAATGATGGGAGTAAGAGTCAGTTCAATGAGTGTGTATTGAGTATCTTCTGTGTTGTTCATGGTGTAACTAGGTGCTGGCAAGAAGACAAAAATAAGATACAGTTATTGCTTATTTATTTATTTATGAGAGAAAGGGGGAGTGTGAGGAGAGGGTCAGAGAAAGAATCTTAAGCAGGCTCCACGCTCAGCAGAGAGCCCCATGTGGGGCTCCATCCCCCGAGCCTGAGACTATGACCTGAGCTGAAACCAAGCGTCAGACACTTAACCAGCTGAGCCACAGAGCACCCCCAGTTTTTGGTCTTAAATAAGACAAGTTTCTAAGTTCAAACAGGATAGTAGAGCATTAAAAATAGGATATTAGGTGTTTTTATTTTGAGTTCTATGTTACCCTGGTTATGAGGAACTCAGTATTTTTCTTACATTGTCTTGTGGGAAGTTTCTTTGTATGACAACAACACAAAGTAAAATAGGTTGATTGGTGTTTTGGCAATAAGTGTTACAGCCACTTTTTTCTTTTGGTTAAGTAAAGGTTATCACCAATAACTCAAATTCTAAGAAAATCATTGAAATAACATCACAGTCAAGATCAATTTTTTAAATAGTGAACATGTTACTAGGAAAGACAAGTTACAAATACAGAAGTTCAGCTTCCAGGTAAGCCTGTTGGAGCCTTTTGGAGTGGAGGAGAAAGGAAGACTCCATCAAGCCCCTTTTATATGGTAATGGCACTTAGATGAGTCCACTTAAAGGAGCAGTTTCCATTAACTTAATGATGTGAGTTATAGAACTTTTTGTAGGGTAACTAGATACAAGAGCTGTTGATAAGAATATATAAGAAAACGTATTACACATTACAGATGTACACGTGCCTACAACAATTCATTATGTTTCCTTTCTGTGACATTAAAATATTGTCACATCTGCAATAGGTAGTGAAAATTATATTTTATGTTAGTTCTCATGGTCATCCTAAGCTTTTTACTGATTTTCTATACTCTGAGCTTCATATTAGCAGAACTGATATTAAGGCTCTCTTCACCTGACACATCCTCCTCATTGCTTTCAGACCTGGGTGAATCCACCTCTGGGTTCATACTGAACTTTGTATAAAACCGTTTTCTGGTATCCTTTTTACTACATCTCATTGTCTTTCTTAAATTTAGTCTCTTGATATTGTTGCTATTAATTCATTCATGCATCCATCCATGCATTCATTCATGTATTACACAGACATTTATCAAGCATCTACTTTTGCCAAGCATAATGCTAGGTGTGGGGATACAGGGACAAGACATAGCTTTGCCTTCAAACAGTTTGTTCACTGTCACATTAAAGGTGTAACAGGAGCATACACAGAAGGGACGAGCAGAGATGAAGGAAGGCATTTTGTGAAGGGAAAGTTAAGAGTTCTTTACTCCCTGAAGTTTTACAGAAGCCTGTAGCAGTTATAGGAGGCTTTGTAATTTCTCCATACTTAGAGGTTTTGATACCTTCCAAAATAAAATGTAGTGGATCAGAGTACAGTTGTTGGAATCACACATATTTGGATTTGAATCCCTGTCCTACCTCTTACTAATTATGCAGCCTTGGGCAAGTTACTCAATCTCTCCCTACCTTAGTTTCCTCATTTATAAAATGGGAAATCTATATATACTAGAGGTTTTCTTGAATTTTGACTAAGTCCTTGATACAGGACCCAGCATATAGTACATGCTTGTTTTTATTGTCATTGTTATTAACAATTTTATTATTATTAGACTTTGTGTTATAAGATTTTTATTGGCATCATACTTGGTTGTTAAGAAATCTTAGTTGATGACTGGGCTACTTGGATTTGAATTTCAAAACAAAGTGTGCCTTTTGGCCCCTTTAAGTGGTTCTTTCATGGCTGGTGAAATGGTTCAGTACTTTTTATTACATAAATCCCTCCTTTTTCTCCCCCAGCTATGAGGACTTCTTACTCTCACTTATGACTTCAGTGGACTTTAATTTTTAAACAATTTACGTATTAGAATGTAAAGGTATAGGTTTTTTAGATACTTTTAAAGAAAAGTGATATGATCTAAATTGAGAACTATATTTTAAAGTCTGCTATTGATGTTAAGTAAATCATTTACAGTGTTCTTTTTCACTGTGAAATGATAGTAAAATGCCAGAGGTAATTAATTAATGGTTGTGAAATACTTCTGCATTTGATAAATTTCTACATCCTAGTAAATTATAGCATAAGGTACCTTAGAAAACAAAAACATCAACATAACAAATAAATAATTGGCATACAGGGGTGTTTGTACAACTGAGTTTGCACTGGAAGGTTTTTGATACATGTTAATAAAGTATTAAAGTATTAAATCACATGGATGAGCTACAGCGGTCATCACTAATATGCAGAGTATTAAATGTGTTGTTAAAATATTTAAGTTTACATACTACAGATATTCTCACTTAATATGTATGTATTTTTTTAAATAAACAGGATAGCAGTGCATGAACCTTCATTTATGAGCTCCCAGTTGAAAATCAGTGATCGGAGTCACAGGCAAAAACTTCAGCTCAAGGCACTGGATGTGGTTTTGTTTGGACCTCTGACACGTTAGTATTCTCTCTCAGAGTCTGATGCAAAAGAATAATCAGATCATATATTTATTTAAAAAAGAAAGAACACTAGAAAATCATTTATTAGCTATAAAGGAAATGTCATGTATCTTAAAAAGATTTATAGGGTGAGATTTTCTGTCATTGAAATGTGGAGTGTGAAATTTCCAAGCTGGTTACTGATGTAAAAAGTAAAAACTATGTTTGTTGATAATTTAGAATTAAATTTCTAGATTTGGGACTGTAGATCTTTGTAACAGTTTTAATGTTGATACCATTATAACTGGATATTCACTGAAGGATCCCTTTCAAAAATGGTACAATGTAACCATTTCCATGGCACAGAGTAATACATCCTAACTTGATTTCATTTATCACCAGGAAAAGGATTTTCTAGATAGAGATGAAAAGGAGAGATCCACTTGAAATTTTACATGGTAACAGACTATTCTGGCAGAAGCACAAGATGGAAAATGTTATTTGGTTGTGTTGAAGAACATTTAAGAAATTATTATGTCATATTTGTAAGGAAAATAAGCCTTGTATTTCTTTACTTTTGACAGGAATACTTCTTTCAGAAAGTTTAATATATTTAATTTCAAATTGTAAAAAGCTTTGGGGGAAAGTGTTTGAAGAGTACACATTTTAGAGGAATTATGTTCTATTTTTTTCAGAAGCCAAAAAGGAGTAACAAAATTAATACAAGAAAAATGGCTTCCACAGATGATAAATTAGCAAACAGTTGTTTATTTTACCTCAATTTTTGGAGTTAGGAGACTTGCAGGTTTCTGTGCTATGGTTTTGGGGGTGGCCCTGCTGAGAAAGGGTTCCTGGAGCTGTTGGATAGATTCCATTACTGTACTGGTGGTTCTTTTTGGCTCAGGCTGAGAGCAGCTGGTGAAACAGCTGGAACACTCCGCTTTGTGAGAGGTGGTGGAAATGCACTGCTGTTGGAAATTACAAACCCTAGGAAGCAAAACCCTCCTGAAATTCCGGGCATTCCACACAGATGACACCCTGAGTTTCCTACCGAATCTCTTGGGGGTTGTCTGCCGTGAGATTCTGATTTTTTCATGGGACTGATTGGTGAAAATAGGAATTAAGCTCTAAAACTTGCCTCTCTGTACAAATTGGTCAGGGATATTTATATTTTATTAATCTGGGAACAAATCACTCGCTAAGCCAAAACAGTATTATATTATCATTTGAAAAGAAACCAAACTAGTCTCAAAGAATGTTGAAAATAAATGTTTTAATAAACAAACCAGTGAAGAAGTTAATGATGCATTACCTTTTTAATGTGTTTGTCTTAGAATTATTATTTGAGTGAATGAGCCCTGCAGTTGGAACACGGGCATTAGATTTATAACAAACTAACATAAAATGAACAGAGATATATTTTAAAGGAGTTTTCACTGAAATCTTTTTCAGTTTGTGGTAATTATTATAGAATTTGGGACGTCTCTGCCTATTTATTGTCATTTCTGGTGATTCTGTTTTGGCCTGAACAGGGCTCATATTTGAACTAGAACTCGAGCTGAACTTCTCAGTCTGAGGCAGAAATAAAAATAAATCCTTTTGAGACTTTAGCATTCTGCAATGCATCTGTTTCACTGTAGGTGTGTGCTCTGGAAATATGCAGCCCCGAGGGTCTCTGGCCTGGAGCATGCTGTTCATCACACTGTGTAAACATACACGAACCCGAGGAAGCGCAGGAACTTGTCCTGTCTGTAGAGCTCCTTATTTCATCACACATGCAACATATCTTCCTGCTGGAGGCCTGGGCAGTTAGGTTGTTTTCCACTGTAAACTATGTCTCTTTGGAGCAACGAATACATTATATTGTATTAGTTATCTTTGTGTATCCTTCCAGAGAGCCCTCTGAAAATTAGTGTGTAATTAAGAGTCAGGGATAAACTAGGAAATTATTTAACTAGTGATTTCTGTGTTTTGTATCACCGAAGACAGTGGGCCCTGGCTCCTTACTCCTTACTTTAGAAACAGTGCTGGAAATTACTGACCTGCCTGGTGGTAAAAAAGGTGATCTGTTCTTTCCTTCTAGTAACCCAGATTTCTCTGGCAAATAGCCACCTAAAGCATGACTTGTTATGATCATGTAACTCCTGCTTTCTCAACCTTGGTACTTCACGTTTTGGGCTGGATAATTCTCTGTTACTGGCAGAAGTGGGGCTGGAAATTGATTGTCTTGTGAGTTATTGGATATTTAGGAACATCCCTAGCCTCTCCCCACTAGACACCAGTGACAACTTCCGTATCCACTTTACACCTTCCCATCTGTGACAAGCAAAAATTGTCAAATGTCCACTGTGGGGGGATATCACCCTCAGTTGAGAATCATTGACTAATCTTAGTTACATGACTACTTGCTTGGGGAAAATGTTCTTCTGGTGAACGATTAGGGTTCCAGTGTATGTATCAAAGCATGAAAGCTCCCTAACTTGACTGAAGGAAAGCAGTTGGGGTGAGAGTGGTGGTACTCTTCTTTATGCCTCCTTTCACCTCACAGAGAACATGATTGGAGGTGCTGTTGGCTTTTTCACAGCTCCCCAGGACTTTTGTTACTATCTCCTATACCAGCAGGGGTGGAGTACATGCCTGTGGGTTTATCTGTGCCCTCTGGTAGTTCTAGTGTATCAGACTGTCATAAGCACTTTGATTATTTGAAGAAAGAATTTTTAAAAGGCTAGAGCTTATTTATGGGAGGGACATTTTCACATTTGTTTTTAGATACCTACTCCTTTTTAAAAAAAATGCTTCTATGTATTGAGATTCTGTTATCAAAGATTAATTTAATCATCTGTAATTTTCTTCATAGGCCCGCCTCATAACTGGATGAAGGATTTTATTCTCACAGTTTCTATAGTAATTGGTGTTGGAGGGTGCTGGTTTGCTTACACACAGAATAAGACATCAAAAGAACATGTTGCAAAAATGATGAAAGACTTAGAGAGTCTACAAACTGCAGAGCAAAGCCTAATGGACTTACAAGAGAGGTGAATAAGTTTAAAAAGCTACAAGTCTTATTATTTATGTAGTCAAATACAGTTTGTGAAAATGTAATATGGGCATGGGCTTACACACTTTTACTTGGTTTGTTACACACATCAGTAATGTCTGTACACTTCATTTCGTATAGTTAGAAAAGTTATATTGTCCTAATTACAGATTTATATTAAAGGTATGCACTAGGGAATAAGCAGATCAGTGAAAATAAATCAGATATAGGTGGAATGATATGTGTAGTTCAGTTTTATTTTTAACCTGATTTAGATAATAAAGAATTTCTTAAGAGTCTGTTTGCTGAAGAGTGATTCCCTGCTATCACTGTATTTTCAGCTCAGGATTACCCATATAGATGTATAGTGGGCTACCTGCTAGTTTTGGTATTCACATATAAGATTAATAGAAAATACTCTGATTTTGGATGGGAACATGTATTCTGCTGCTTGATACGTATTTATTCGTGAAAAAATGAAACTTTGGAAATTTTGGTGAGGAATTTTCATTTTTATCCTTCTGTAAGGCTTGAAAAGGCACAGGAAGAAAATAGAAATGTTGCTGTAGAAAAGCAAAATCTAGAGCGCAAAATGATGGATGAAATCAATTATGCAAAGGAAGAGGCCTGTCGGCTGAGAGAGCTAAGGGAAGGAGCCGAATGTGAGCTGAGTAGACGGCAATATGCAGAGCAGGAATTGGAGCAGGTATTTACATTCCATGAACAGTATTGTTAGGGCAGTGGTAGCGCCACTCTGAGGAGTTTTGTGGTTTTTTTTTTTTTTTTTTTTTTGAGCTTTCTTTCTTTCTTTCTTTTTTTATTTTATGTTATGTTAGTCACCATACATTACATCATTAGTTTTTGATGTAGTGTTCCATGATTCATTGTTTGCGTATAACACCCCAGTGCTCCATGCAGCACGTGCCCTCTTTAATACCCATCACCAGGCTAACCCATCCCCTAACCCCCTCCCCTCTAGAACCCTCGGTTTGTTTCTCAGAGTCCATAATCTCTCATGGTTCGTCACTGAGGAGTTGTTTTGTTTTTGTTTATAGTCTTCTGCATTTAGTGGCATTGTATATTATTCCTTAGTTAATAAAAGAATTGTTCATATTATTAGCATTGATCAAAGCCCATATAGCAACATGACAAAGTAATAATTTAAAAATAAAGTTACCATCATGTTCACTCACTCATGAAATCTTATCCCATGCCATGTTAATTATCTCCAGTGAATTTAAGGTATTTAACATCTGTGATATGTTTCAGTTTCCAGCTGTAACCTAATAAAGTATATCTAATGTTAAACCTCTCTGCAAAGGTAAAGAATCTCTATTATATATTTGAATCCTGTTAAATGGCTTTAGAACATAATCTGCTAAAAATTCTGAAGTTGTCTACAGATGCCTTTCCAGTATCTCCTGCTACCATGTGGTTACTCAAGATGGAATAAAAGCCTTCAGGCATAGCACATTCCTTCAAGAAGGGGGGGGCAGAATTTAATTGTAGGCAGATCTTTTGGTTTTCTATTCTTGCTATAAAAAATTACCACTAACTTCGTGGCTTGAAACGACACACATTTATTATCTTACAGTTCTTAAGACAGAGTTTAAAATAGGTTCACAGGGCTGCATTCCTCTGGAGGCTCTAGGGAGGATCTGTTTCCTTGCCTTTTTCAGCTTTCAGAGGCTGCCTGCATTTCTTGGCTCGTGGCCCCTTCCTTCATCTTCAAAACACGTCATTCCAACCTCTGTTTCTGTGGTCTCATCTCCCTCTTCTGACTTCGACCCTTTCTTTTCTGATAAAGAAACTGCGGGTGAGAAGTCTTGCCCAAGATCAGAGTGCCTCAGTTGTAAAGCAGGGCCAAGAACCTTGGTGTTCTGTCTCCTTTGCTTTGTGCACTGTTGCCTTCTCAGCCAGGTGCTAAATAAGGAATAAGAATTATGTGATGAATGAGTTTCAGTTTCAACTCCTGAGGAAATGTTCAGTTTCCTGAACATTCAGTTCAGGAATGGAAATGCATCCATTCCTCTGTAAATAACAGTGTAATTCAAACTAAGGATTAGAATTTAGGTCAGATGATAAACTTATGAATAATAGCAGAGAAAATAGTTAAAATAGTTGCTGTTATTGGAAGGTCAGGATTTCCAAAATTTTGAAACATTGACAGTCAATGAAAACATTGTTCAGCCTCAGTTAATGGTAGAAATATACCAGTTCTGTGTTAAATGTGTTGCATTTAACACAGTAATGCATTACTGTTTCCTTCAGGATTGTCGTTTTTGGTAGGATTTGTCTGCCTGAACGCAGCCATCTCTTCTATTCATAGCTAGCTGTTGTTTCCCTGATACCCCTGGCATCTGTTTGTTGGATCTTTTCCCTGTAAGGAGTTTGTTCTCTTAAGTTAACGCCTACATGTATTTGATGGTCAGGTCCTATTTACCTGACAAACCTTATCTGTACAGAATGTAGTAAGGAACCAGGGAGTTAACAGGAAAAAAAAAAAAAAAAAGGAAGAAAGAAAGAAAAAGGCTTAGCCAAAATTATAGTGTGTCCAAGAATTAGATATTATGCCTTTTATTCCTGTGAGAACTCCCTGCCTTTTCCCACCAAGGCTTCTAACTCTTGGTTTGTTCCCAGTACTAAACTAAACAGCTTGTTAGCTATTTTTCTGCACTTTATAGGTTAGAAGGAACAAATCAGAAAGCAGTAGTGGTAATTTGTCTACAGAGACATAAACTGATAGCAGAATTTTACAGGTGACTGCCTCACAGTGAGGGAGAAGACGCCCTACAAAAGGGATTCCCCAAAAGGGATTCACAAACATTCTAATTTGAAGTTTTTGGCAGAAAGGCATTGCACACCGCAAGTAGGCCTTAGGATCACCACGATATGTCCCAGTACAGATGTAATAATCCTAATGAGATCCTGAGTCAGTAAGGGGTGGTTTAAAGGAGTTAAGTGGGTATTTAAATGAACTCTGTCCAACAGGATTATAGTAATAAGAAACACAGTTTTAACGATTGCGTACTGCGTGCCAGAAGTTTATGCTATGCACATTATGGGTGGTTTGCTCATAAATTTTAATCCTCACGATAAATAGATATTATCCTCATTTATAGATGAGACGTGCAGAGAGGTTAAATAAGTTGCCTGAATTTACACAGCTCTTCCATGGCAAAGGCAAGATTTTGTGTGTTTTATTCCAAAGTCCATGTTTTCCCGTACTGCTATTAAAAGTTTTGTTTCTAGAAGTAAATTTCACTGGGAAGCTAATTTATGTATAATGTCATATAATCTACAGTTCCACATAGTTTGAAGTACTACTGTAGCTTGTCTGAGAGGTAATCAACTTCTCAGAATTACAAATCAGGAGTATCAGGCACATATATTGTATAGTGGTGCTATTTTTTCCCTAAAACAAAAACTTTGGGGTGAATAATAGTACCGCTTCATATTTTGTATGGTTTAAATACTTTTCACATAAATTATTTTGTTCTTAAAGTTTCAAGAAGACCAAAGTCAAGACAAGTCATACTATATGCCTGTTCTACATGAGACAATAAACCTCAGATCAGAAAGTGAAGAAGTGGTGAAGGTCACAAGGGTAATAATCATAAAGTTGGGTCCAGAGCCATGTTTTCAGGTATTTAGGGTTTGGATACCATGTTTTTACTTATTGCTGTTTTATTCCTGAGACACGAATATTGTGTAAATAATTATATTTGTAAACAATTTAATAATTCATCATTTGCAAAAGCTTTTAATTACTCATTTTTTTCCTGCATCCATTCCTCTGTAAATAACAGTGTAATTCAAACTAAGGATTA